AAAATAGAACCAGAAAAAGGTTTAAAATACCAATCATAGATGGCAAGACCAGCACTAAAGTGCAAGGAAAAAATGTTGAAAAAAATATTTTCTTAGAGGGAGCTTATTTATTGTCTCAAACGTATTTTGTTTTTGTTTTTTTATTAATTTGTCTTTAGATTTCATTAAATAATACAATTTTGTACAAATAATTGAATGTTATAGTACTATTTACAAAAATAAAGTCTAAAATCCAATAAAAGATAAGTTCTCTATAATTTTTTCAATTCACAAATGTGATTTTGCCCTCACGATAAGACAGCAGGTAAGAGGTTAAAAGAAAAAAAAAGGAAGTTAGAGATAAAATGTGTGTCAGCTAGCTCATTTCTGTAGCTAGTCCTAATGGTCAGTAATCTAAATTCTTTAAAACTTTTTTTTAAAACAATAGAATCTGGAAGGATAATTTGATTGTGATTATAAAAAGATTCCAGATTCAAAGATGACAACCTATTTTGTGTAATGAAGAGTCACAATATCATCTATTTTTCTGTGAGTAATATGATTTTTTGTAGGATGTGGTTCTTATCAGGATAGGGTACTGGTCCACTTGACCAGTGGGTACCTAGTAGGCAATACTGCATATATGATTAAATGTTTAAGTAGAAAGATACCTTGTAAGTATTTAAAAATAATAAAAATATATTTATTTTTGTGATAAATAGATATAGTATTATCAGAAACTGTTTGTTGTATTGCTGTTACTGCAGGATGATGAAAGTAGTGATACCATCTTAAAATACGACTTCCTATACATAATTTGTATGTTCAAGTAATTAGTATGATTTTTTTCCCTGAAATATCTTAACATTTACAGATTTAAAAATTGATTTTATATGGTAGCTAATTAATAGTTTTTCACTGTTGCTATGCAACAGGAATTCTGTTTCATTGTCAGTAGTTTGTTGACATGTCATATAGAAAAAATATAAAGCAAACATCTTGAATTTGCATATGTACTCTCTATTTTACCAATATAAATTTAGATATTGTTTCTTATTCTCTTGAATATGTTTGTCCAATGTCATTGCATTTACATTTTCTTTCTTACACATCCATGTTAAATCTATGAATTGTTTAGTGTTTTTTTGCTGTGGTACATAACTTTTTAAATATTTATTTTTTGTACTTCAGATTCCTCTAGCTTCCAAAACTTCTCTGCACCTGGGTTTCTGAAATTGTTGCTTCATTATTTGTAATTTCTTCATTTCAATTTTTTCTGCTGATTTAATTTGTTTTAACAAGATACTTTAGTGAAATTACTGCATCTTTGAACAAAAGTAGCTAAAGCTTAAGCTTTCACATTTAGTACTCAGTGAATTTCCTGTAATGGGAAAACTCAATTTGATCCTTTAAATTTTTGTTTCTACAGACCATAAGTAACTGTTGATAGATGATTAAGGTGCTGTAATTTCTAAACATATTTACTTTTTCCTTGTAATTACTCATTTCCTTGAAACATTTGTGATGGAAAAGTTACTGTGATTTTATTGGAGTTTATTTTTAAAATTAAACAATTTGTTTCTAATTTTCAGAATTTAAACATATTAAAGAAGAACCTGAACTACAAGCAAGTGACAAGAACTTAAAAGATACAGAAAAATTTATGGACATATCAAATTGTTATCAAGATGACATTGAATCATTCAGAGCTCAAGAACCAGTAACTTTCTCTGTGACTGCTGAATTTCACACTGTTAAACAGAATGTTAAACCTCCAGAAAATGACTTGTCAAGCAAAAAATTAAGTGAAACAGAGGATTCCAGTCAAGAAAGTACTAGAGAGAAAAAATTTGGAGAGAGAGATATATATTTTCCAAATTATCCTTCTGACACAAGTGAAAATCTGCTTTCTAGACAAACTTATTTTTCAGAGGAATTTCAGAGCAATGAAGACAGCTTGAATGAGAAAGAAACTTTTTCATCAAAGTCAGATGCTCAAAGTCAGAAAGAACTGGGGAAAGAATCAGATGTTGAGAAAAAATCTGAGAAAGATGACAAAATTGTTAGTAAGTCATCACAGCATGAAATGCCTCAAAAAGATGAACTAGCCAATAAACAAAAAAAAGAGAATTTCAAATCAAAGCTTTCAGGAAAACCTCATGTATCAGATGAAAATAAAAATGTGTCCACATCCAATACTGAAAGGTCAAAAAGTTCAGTTAAAATCAAGTCATTATCAAAAAAGTGGGAAGAAGCTAATAAATCAGTAACTGCTAAAAGAAATTCAAAGTCTACAGAATTCCAAAAAAAATCCAAGATGGCAGAAAAAAATACTGTGTCCATGAGAGCTAGATTAAGTAATCAGAAATTTAGTTCTATTAGTGGTACTAACCTTGAAAAAACTAGAAAAGACAAACCCGATTCAGAAAAGTCAAAGAGTACAATTCATAAAAAATCCTTGACCAAAATAAAAAAAAACAAGATTCTGCTGAAAATAAAATTAACAATTACCATAGTAAATCACAAAAGGTGCCAGGTTCAGGGAAACAGAAGTTATCAACATTTTCTGGTAATAAATGTAAAGACAGTGCAAGATCTTCAAAACAATCTACAAAAGCTTGTACTTTTCAAAGGATTGCTTCTAAAGGAAGTACAGTCAGATCATCATCTTCAGAAAGTTCTGGTAAGAAACAATTGAAACCTGCAGTGAATGATGATACACCCAAAATGTCAAATGAGAAATCAAAACTGGCAGATAAGAAACAACTAAAACCACAAAGCAGCAAGCCTTTAAAGAAAGATGATGAATCTTTTAAGTATAAAACAGACCATGCATCAAACAGTACATCTGAAAAACTTAACTCTTCAAATAAAGAAAAGTTATCATTGTCATCACTTTCTTATGCAAAATCTTCTAGAATATTTAGTAAGGATAAATTAACTTATAAAAAAAGAACAGATTCTATCAGGTTTGAAAAGGAAAAGAATAAAAATTCTACAGGAAAAAAGAAAAAAGAATGCATTATAGAAAAGTACAGAAGTAGCAATAAACCTCAGTCTGAAATGAGCGAAAATACAGAAAAAAATAAGAAAGAGAGTAAAATTGAAAACAAAAAGTTGGATGTAAGACCTAAACCTTGTAAAATCAATAGACAAAGTGATAGTGACAGTGATAATTCATGTTCAACTGAGAAGAAGATTATTATTGAAGAACATGCAAGTGAACTATGTTGTTTTGGAGATGATAGTTATGATATGGGTACAAACAATGATTTAGAGAGGAAGCTTAAATGTGATTCAAATACTGGCTGTAATTCTCCAAAGGCAACAGAAACAGCAAAAGAAGGTTCCAGTATAATTTTAAAATGTGATGCTGAGAAAAAAAGTGGTAAAGATTTATTTGATATTTCAAGCAGAATGTTAGAAAACACTGATTCTGATATTAGCTTGAGGGAAGATCTGAAAAGAACAAAAAACAAGGGAGTGGATGAAGATAGCAGTGACCTGTTTGATGATGATGATAAAAAATCCACAGAAGATATATCTGAAGTTTCGTGTACTGTAAGTTCTGTTCACACAAGTGATTTGTCATCATTTGATGACCAGATCAGTTTATCATCCATGGAAGAAGTAGAACCCGTCAAGCCAAGAGGAAAACGAAGAATTTCTCTGAAAGAAGGTAATTTTTTTTTCTAAAGCTATGGACATAACCTTATAACCACTATGAAAGCATGAACTAAATCTCTGAAAGTACTTAGCATATCTTCATGAAAATTTGAAAGCTTTTAGTAAAGATTACAATTCTTTTGTACACAAAAAGCAGATTTTCATTGAACTATTTTTACTAAAGATTTGTCTGTGGATGTATGGAATCAAAGTGTTTACTAGACCGAGTGCAAGGTGATTTTCATGTTAAGATTAAAAATACTTATTTCACCTTACAGTTTTCAAACTTCATTTGCTTAATCACTAAAACTTCCTAAATGAATATCAAAATTTTTAAGTAAATTTATATTTCATCTGTTATTTTTTTCTACCCTAATTCTATAAATCTTAATAATTATTTTTTTCATTCTAAAATGTGTGCACATTGTAACAAACAATTATGAAATATTGAATTTTACAGCCTAAGCTAATAAATTGTTTGTTTAGTTTTTTAAATATACAATTGACTAAGGTGATAGATATTTATTATGCCAGACAACTTTGTGTGAACTACTTATTGAGTTACTAACATGTTCATGTCCAATTATAATAATGTACTCAAACTTGGTGCATGTTGTCATTGATTACAAGTATTTTTTTTATTTATTTCATTTAAAATTACTTATGATATATTTCTAATCTTTACATTTTAGTTAATTTTATAACATTAAATAAGAAATTTAGTACTTATTTATAAAATCTTGTCTTTAAGATTTTACACTCATAAAATCCAAGTCACCATTATGATTTAACCCTAATTCAATGTCATGATAATGTGTTCTCAGAAGTTTTTTCTAATTCAGTTATCCAGTTTAGAATATGAAATATTTCCATGCATATAAAATAGAATGTCCTAAAACTTATATAGTCTATCTGGTTTTCTAATTAAGATAAAAATGGCTTAAAATAATTATAATACCTGGTCAAGCAGAACTCCAGCAGCAGCATACAAAGAAAATTACAACAACATTTTCAAATCTGTGTAGAACAAGGCCTATAGATCCTGGTCCTGTCAGTTAAGTGAAATTCTCACTTTCTGTTAATTACACAAAATTACAGCAAACATCAGAGAGAATTTATGACAGTTTTTGAAAGCAGGATGCTCTGTGGGAGGTATGGCATGTAGCATTTACTTTATTGCTTTAATTTCCATAAAACAAAAACATTTTGGCTACAAATTGAGTTTAGCTTGGGGATATATATATTATAAATGAGAAATTCCACAGAAAGTTTCAAAACCAACTAGGGGTAACAGAAAATATAGAAATAGATAGTTTTCACTGAAGAACTGTCATGTGGTACAGAAAGTGAAACTTGATAAGTTATTTATATACATCATTTTAAAATTAAGAAATTAAAAGATATACAATGTTAACATTTGAAGGATAAGCTGTTTTAATGCCAAGTTTATTGATATACATTGATAATATAGTAGTTTAATTACGTTTTGAATGTAACTGTATAAGGTTGTGACATGCACACTTTTACCTATGTGCAGCAATAGGTTTATATCAATGAATGAAAAAACATAATTAATTTGTAGTTTTTCATGTTTGTTAACCCTGTGTGCACAAGTGGGAGTCAAAGTGTACATGTCACAACCTTTTATATCATGGTATTATATATTTGATGTTAGAGTTATCAACTATTAATTTTGCCGTACATTGCTGATTTAGCAATAATTTATAGTAGAGAAGAATATATATACCAGATAGAATATACAGCAATACTAAAAAAAACTAGATATGCATTTTGGAAGTTCTATGGGTTATGCAAATACAACATGCAAACTGTACAATGGACAAAAGTATTTTTATTCTTTACATGAACATCACCTTGAACTCCAGCATCTCAGAATCTGATTCATATTGATGTTGTCAATTCATAGACATATCTTAGTACAGATACTTTTGAAACACATCTGATTTTTTTGTGTACAAATGATTTTGTACATTTCCTGAAAGCTTGCCATATTTCATGTAGATTTACATAATAAGTTCAGAATTATAGTTAACATTCCTTCTCTAACATAGAAAAGGAATAATTCTCAAAATATGACTGGACAACACTGTATGTAATCTTTTTTCCTCCTAAAAATAATGTAATGAACAATGTTGTTCAAATAGTTTGGATCTTGGGAAGGAGGAGTTCTCTAGGTTGCTGTTCTTTTTCCATAAAACTATAGAAAACAAAATTGGACTTTATTTTTCTACTGTTAGACACTTTAAATTCTGTTCTTACATTATTTTAGAACAATGTGATCATGTCTTTCATGTAAAAAAGGAAGAATCATTTAAAAAAAATATTTTTTGTCTACCCACCCGAAAAGCTGCATTATATAAATATAAATGAGCTTTTGGACAATTATGGCCTGATACTTTCACAAGTAGTACAAAATAACACTGTACAATATTCTTTTTACATTATATCTTTTACTTAGCAGTTTCATTACAGTTATTCTCTGTTGAGTAAACTTTTTTTTTTATCTTTCAGGGAAAATAAATACATTTCTCCCCCTTCAACTATAGCACCATAAAAACAGTTGCTTGCATTATTTGACTTGCATTGTTTTTATCATCATAAGGTTTTAGTCACCACAATTTTGAGTCATTAATTGAAATTGTGTTTCACTTAAATGGGTACTTTGGTTTATTGAGACCCATTATTATGTTAAGGCACATCCAGAAGGCCAATTAAAACAATATTTGTTTTGTTCCAAAGTTTTTTATTGGATTTGCAGGTAGGAGGCACTTCCTTGATTCCTTAATCTTCTTATTACTTAGCCTGATAATGGGCATAAGTGCGCTGGACAAGAAGGTTGTGCATTCCAATGTATCAAAATTTGTATTATAAAAGTGCTGTATTATAGCATTATCTGTAAGCTCAGACATTAAATAGGATCATGCTGGATGAAAAACAAGCATGTTTTCGTAGTTAGTTTTATATGTTCTTATAACTATATATTGCCATACGTACAATGTAAATGCTGATACTTGTTTTAGTGTATGTACTTGCTTCATTGTGTAATGATGATAAATGCTCATTTTAAGTGAAAGTTGGAAAATGCAATGTTTTACTAATATACTTTTATTAGAAAATGAACCTGTTACTTACAGAAGAACAAAAACCTTAAAGATTTTAGGAACAAATCACATTATGAAAATTCATTTAATGTGATATGATCATAAACTTCTAGTTACTGTAGTTGTTTTTTATTTTGCAATAAAATTAGAATAAATGATTGGTGCTATTAAAGCGTGCGGTCTACCAGGACTTTTACACTATAGCATGCAGTCTACCGAGACTTTTACACTATAAACAAAGCATATAAAGATATTGAATAATAGCAGTCTACCTGGGATATTTACACTGCTAAATTTATTAACGATCATTATTATGATAAAAAACAAAACAAAATTGTGCTACATAATTATTTTTAATGACATACACTTCATACCACATCTTTAACAAATGATTTACATTTGAATCCTTTAACAATATACACTTCATATATTATTTACAAATGCCACAAATAAATCATCTGCATCTTTTCTTAGTACTTTCCAGCAAATGTGATCAAGGTATGATTGAAACAGCTCGGTGCTACTATAGCGTGCGGTCAGTGTAAATATCCCAGGTAGACTGCTATTATTCATCATTAATAAATTATTTAGCAGTGTAAATATCCCAGGTAGACTGCTATTATTCAACATCTTTATATGCTTTGTTTATAGTGTAAAAGTCTCGGTAGACCGCATGCTATAGTGTAAAAGTCCCAGTAGACCGCACGCTATTGTAGCAACAAATGATTTTTGTATGTTTTACCAATATTTTGATAAAGTTACTGTTACAAGTTGTAGTGGAATTTTTTGAACACAAATTAAAATCCAGGATTCTATAAGAACAAATACTTGACACTCTTCTTGTGTCATAATTTTTCTAATATATTCAGAACTTATGCTAATAATTTTCTCAAAATATCATTAAACAGTTTTAGCACTATTTGGATTGTATATTTTTGTTACTTTCAAAATTCACTGCTACTGTTGTTGAAATACATCTGTGAGCATGTAAAAAATTGTCTAGCTATTTTGAGTTAAATCTAGCTACTGTATAATCCACATCTGCAATAAAAACATTTAATTATTTGTGTTTAAATAAGTTATGTTAAAGCATTACTCAACATTTGAAAATTACAAGTTGAATATAGAACGTGAAATAAAATTCTCCAAAAATAAGTAGTACAGGCTTTCAAGTTAGCTTATTTCTTATGTTTTAAGTAGTTACTATTTTTTAATGATATATCAAGTTAGAAAAGAGTGTTTTTATAATATAATATTACATACCTTGAGATATTTGATTATTACAACAGACAATTCTTTCAATTTATAAACTTAGGTGATGATATATTTGCTTTTTTTCTTATTTTAGAATTTACTATACCTATTGTTTTGAGGCATGTTTCATGCACTGTGTAACATCCCTTCTTTCGGGCTACAATGATAGGGGTGTGTTTGTAGATTTGTAGTTTTTGAATGTGTAATTTTTGGTATTATTTTTTTCTGTCAGTATTACTGCTAAATTAAACTGAATACTGAGGTTATGAGACCTTTCACAAGTTTTTGTATATTTATTTCTATATATTTTCACCTTAAATTTGTAATTTAGGAATATTATGATGTATTTTTATATTTGAGGTTGTTTTTTGCTTTTGATATATTTTGTTTCAGTTTTCTGTGCCAATACAAAAGAAGAATTACAGTTCTTATATTAAATTGGTTATTCTAGTTGACATTTTAAGTACCGTTCCAGTAATGTATGTGTGTGTGTGTATTTCAAAGAAAGATAATGCTGAACTGTTCAGTAGCTAAACAGGCAGTACAGAATTTTATACCTTAAATATTTAATTTTTCTATCGCGTTTTATTATTTAAAACACTTCAATTTTGGTATATTTCCCTCTTTCACATGTACAAAAAGTATAACCAAGTCCTGGACTAACTCATGTTGTAAGAAATACAAAATTAAGATTCATATACTTTTTAACAGTTGAAATATATTCAATGTAAAAGACCTGTATTTTCATGTCAAGTAGAAAACTACTGAGAAGTTATAAATCAAACATTAATTTACACGAATGCCTAATTGTAGATTTTTTTTCAGTCAAAGAGTTTGCATATTTAAAAGAACTCAGTGACAGCAGCAGAGATAGACACAGAACTGATGATGACAGCTGTAGTTATGAACAGATAAAAAGAAGTAGATATAAGAGTGATGAAGATAGCTCTGGCCATGAACAATTAAGCAGAAGTAGGCTCAGGAGTGATGATGATAGCTGTGATAGTGAACATATAAGCAGAAATAAACACAAAAGTGATGAAGAAAGTTGTATTCACAGACAGGTAAGCAATGTTTTCAAGATAGGCATTTCCTGTGTTATGTTACAGTGTTTTGGAAATAGCGACAACTAAATTAAAGCAAGATTTCAACCTATGTGTGTCCAATAATCGGCTAAATCCCTAAACATGGTTTTCTATCACGTATTTGTTGATACTAACTTCATACATTAAGTTTGTCTGGACAGCAGTTTCTGGAACTGTATGCTCTAAAATATGGCCATTATCTAGAATGCTGACAGTTTACAGTGATAAAGTAGTTGTGTTTCATGTATACTTTTATCTATAACACCAACCTCTGTATTTAGATCTTCAATGGTGTAATACTCTCTTATTCCTCATTTGTTTCATAACAGAAACAGAATTAATCCAAGACTCATTTTTGCATACATTTTCAACAATCCCAATTTGCTGTGATTGATAAAAAAACAAACTAGAACTAGTTGCCATGAAGAACTACCATTTACATTTTGAAATTAAATAGTCTAAATAAATATTAACCTCTGAATGAACAATGATGTTACTTAAACTTAGATAGGTTCACACCTGCCTGATGTTAGGTTTGTGGTAGAAGTTATTGCACAAAAAAAATAGTGACATTCTAACAGGGCATGTAATAATAATCATTGGTCAAAAGTTGAATGGTTTTGGTTAATTACTAGTCATTTTTATTAACATTCAGTCATGTTGAGCTCAGATCAAAATCAAACTATCTTTCCAAAGCACAGGTGACTTACATATTGTGCATTAACAATTTACTAATATTATGCAATGTTTTTAAAAGTTGGCCAAGTGTGTAATTCTTCATGCTCAAGTTTAAGCAGAAAATTTGCTTGCCAAATTAACTCTTTCGAGACGGGTCACAGGTTAAAGGCTGTCATCTCGTTTCTTGACTTGCATTCAAAATTTTATTCAACTACTATTCCATGAATTTATGTCAATAAGTTTGGTATCA